TTCGGCGCTCAGCCTTCTTTATGGTCCAGCTCTCACAGCCATACATTACTACTGGATTTTCATGGCTACCAAGCAACAAATATTAGAGGTTCTTGATGTATCTTTCTCCCTAAAGGACATGAGAAAAACTGACAATATTAATTACTACCTCATTCTTTCAGCCTACAGTACAATTGCCATTTTGACATTGGCTTTGAACCACAGAGTTCATAGCTAAGACACCTATTCTAATTTTCAGATTTTTTTTGCTTTTTCCCAACTTTTTTAAAAACACATTTAAGACACATTGGTTAGTCCTAACCAAGTTATTGTCACAGCATGTTGGCTACCCCCCCCCCATCTCTATCACAAAACAACATGCTATCATTTTTTAAGAGTTAAATGTAAAAAACCATCTGGCTTTCCTCGGTGGATGATCTGTGTAAGAAACTAAATGGGAAAAGCCCCATTGGGCTACTTTTCCTGCATCTCTTACAAGTTTTTACTGCCTTTTCGACCACCTGACAAAGCTGGGCCTTGGGGGCATTTTTTTACCACGATTATGGTCCTTCGGTCGGGATGTGCACAGAAGGTGATGCTGGGGAAACTTCCATTGGGCACGTAGGTTTTGTTGACTTATGCTGTCTCATCCCTCTGCTACTGAACATCAACATGAAACCTTCAGGAGATCGTGACTTTGGAGCTGGGTGCTGTTTCTGCGCACACAGCTCCCAGCTCCCTCCCTGTTTTCTGACTCCCGGGGAAATAGAATGCGACCATTACCTAATCTTGATAATGGGGTCGAAGAGGAAGCTTAACTTAAATCCAGGGAAGGTATTTCTGTTTTAAAGACAGCAAACTCCTGTTTCATTAGAAGAAAAAAGGAGTGCAGATCCAGTACAGCAAATAATAAAAAACAGCCCTACTAAAACAGGTGTATTTTTTGAGAGGCTTCAGAACAAGTGTTTTTGGTCTAAAGATGCTGAAGTTTTCTAAGCCTAAAGTTATTCTCCAGACCACCCAAACTGCATCCTCTCCTTTTTCAATCACCTGATGGGAACAGCATTCCTCCCTTCAGTATTCAGCATTAATGGCTTTTAAAAAATTCTCTGTTCCTCTTTGCAAGAATGTTTAGTTTACAATAAATATGGACCCTAGGACTTTGGAGACTGGTGGAGGCCCTGGCCAGTTGTGTTACTTGAGTCAACAATCTAGGAGATTACCCTGGAGTGATCAGCCAGAAATGTTCCTTTCCTTGCCTCCAAGATGCCCACCGTTCAGAGCATCGTCTTCAGGAACTGCCACGAAGAATTGCAGAAAGGAACATCTGTTATTTGCAATGAAAAACAAAAATTTACAAATTTGCCAGCAGAAAGAGCAAGCGGTGGTTGGGCTTCTTTCTTTTTACCTGAGTTGTTTTACTTCTCCCAAGCGTGAAAGTCCGGACGCTGAAAACAGTCATCCTCCCCACGGACCCCACCTGGAACCAGAAGGATCCGTGAAAGGCGCTTCGAACAATTTGAATTCGTCGAGTGTTGGAGAAACACAAACTCGCCAAGCTCAGAAGGTGCGTTTAGAAGGCAAAAGAAACGGACCAATCAGAGCGCGACCTCCGCTATAAATACCAGGCGCGGCGATCGGTGAGCCTCAGTTCAGGTTCGACGGCGGTAGAGGGTGGAGGTCGTACTTGGGGATGGCTGAGGTAGCCCCGGCTGTTGCGGCTCCGGCGGCCAAGGTTCCGGCGAAGAAGGTGGCGGGCGCTGCGAAGTCGCGGAAGCCGTCCGGCCCCAGCGTGACGGAGCTACTGATGCAGGCGGTGACGGCCTCCAAGGAGCGCGGCGGCATCTCCT